CAGGCACCAGGGGCCCAGCCCTGGGCCTGGAGGTGCTCACAGCAGTGGGAGCACCAGAGGAGGCAGGGCAGGGCAGGAGAACAATCAGGTGGACAATCGCAGGGTGTTGACATGAGTGCAGGAGGGAGCACGGTGGCATGCAGGGTGATGGCCAACCACAGGCATCTCCAGCTGGAACCCTGCAGGGCAAGGGGTAAGCTGTGAGGGCCTGCTAAGGAGTTCGTGCTTTATCTTAAGTGCAGGAAAGTGAAAGAATCAACATTCACTTTAGAAAAATCACTCTGGCTGCTGGGGAAAAATATGGGTAGGGTCAAACTGGAGACCAGGCTATAGTATAAGGAACTTGGACTGGAGCAGAAGATGTCAAGGCCAGACTCATCTCCCTTCACCCCCCAATCCGCTCACCAACTGTATCCTCTCACCTCCCATATCCCTGCACCACCTGTATCCCCTCACCTGGACCATTGAAGGGCCTGTTGGCCTGTCTGTCAGCTGCCAGTGCTGGCATCTCTTTGCCTGAGGGCCACCTCCTGCCCTAGCTTTGCTACCCACATACCAGGCCAGAGCAAGGCTTGATTGCAATAAGTGCATAAATACTCTCTTTCTCACCCTTGGGTGGGATGACTCTGAGACACATGTCTGCCCTGGCTTCCAGAGCCCCTCCCCTGGGATTAAGAGCCAGCTACTCACAGCAGTGGCTGAAGAGCAACTGCACTGACTGGGGCTCCTTCCCCTTCTGTGACTCACTTTCCCCCTTGACCACTGGAATTCTCTTCACTTCCCAAATAAACTACTTATACACACATTCTTGACTCAGGTTCAACTGCTAGAGTAATCCAAACCAATCAGGTTACTGAAGCTTTCCTAAGAGTGATTTGGTGTTAGGGAGGAGACAGAGGGCACTGGGGTTCACAGGAGAACAGACCTTGGGGAGGAGTTCACCTGTGTCTCCTGCTTCACTCTGTTCTGCTATAGTGATGTGAAGGACCAAGTGGGAACTGGGAAAATCCATCTCAAGCTCCACACATGTCACCATTTGGCTCTACAGAACCCCCTAGAGCAGTGGTCCCCAACCTATCTGGCATCAGGGACTGGTTTCATGGAAGACAGTTTTACCACAGACTAAGGGAAGAGGGGGCTGTGGGTCAGAGCTCAGGTGGTGATGCAAGCAACGGGAGCGGCTCTAAATAGAGATGAAGCTTCACTCAATGTGTTTACCTGCTTGCTGTGCAGCCCACCCCCTTTTCCTATGTTTCATGGAAGACGATTTTTCCACGGATAGGGGTGAGGGTAGAAGATGATGAGGGGACAGTGGAGCTCTGCAGCCTGGTCCCTAACAGGCCAGGGACCAGTACCCATCCACAGCCCAGCAGCCCTGGAGCCTTGGGATTACAGGTGGATCTTTGGGGCACAAGGCCCTGCCTTAAGCATCCTCTGACATTCTCTTCCAGCTGATGTAGCAGAAGAACACTGAGTTCCTGGATTACCAGCTCCCAAGATCCTCCCATGGAGCCATTTGCAAGGACAAGAACCAAGTTCTGGAAGGAATTTAGTGTCGAAAAAAAATTTTTTTCAAGCTCCATCATTTGGCCCTCACTCATTTGCTAATTCAGAATTCAGTAAATATTTATTGAGTGCTTCCTGTGTGCCAGGCCTCATGGTAGGCCCAGTGGATATCACCTCCAACAAAGCCAGAGGTTCCTTTGCTCCCCTCCCATCCAAATGAACAGCTGTGGTTACTTTCCCCTCTGGGTTTTCTGGGCCATCTGTCCAGTTGAAAGTAGTAAAGGCAAACCCCCTCGGCTCCTCAACATGAGCTTTATCTATTCCTATGGCTCAAAGAAAAAGATCAATCCTCCAATATCATTGAAAAATTGGCAAATGACAGTTCACCAAAAGAAAATCAATGACTCTTAAACATATGAAAAGATTCACAATGTACTTATAATAGAAAAGTTATCATCAGCTCATCAAAGATCAAAGCACTGATTATCACACTGTAATGTGGAGGGTGTAGAAAAACAGGTACTTTCATATATGGCTGAAAGAAGTGTAAATTGTAAAATCTCTGTGAGGGAAATTTGGAAACCTCCTTCAATAATACAAATACATAATGCCACTTGATTCCAATTCTAGTAATTTTTCTTTAAGGGCCAACTCACACTTGTGAACAATGATATACGTATAAGGATGGGGTCATTGCAACATGGTATGTCTTAGCAAGAGAATGGAAACAAGCCAAATGGTAATCAACTTGGAGATGGTTCAATTAATTGTATGTCCATCAAAAGTTATAGTATGCAGCTGAAAAAAATAAAGGAGGTATTTATGTACTATAAGGAAAGATCTCCAAAATTTAGCATTAAATTTTTTATGGTACACTATAATATGTAAAACATGTCACCATTTGTTATATGTATATTCATTTGTTTGCCTATGCACAAAATATTTCTACACAGGAAATATCTAACATTGCCTTCAGAAAAAGATCTGGATGGCTAGATATAAGAAAGATTTTTTTTGTTCTAAATCCTTCTTTATCTTTTGAATTTTTGAAGCATGTGAACGTATTGTCTAATTTTAAAGTTAGAAATAAATAATAAAATTAAAATTAAATAAGTTTAATCTCTCGAAAATAAATTCCCTCAGATTCCTACGACATTAACTAGGCATTAGGGTAGTAAATGCTAGCTGTTGTAACAACCAATTCTAAATCTCAGTAGCTTAATGTGACATAAACAGCTCACTTTCAAGGTGGATACAGGTGGATACAGATGGGGTACTCCCTTCGGGTCTGATTCAGTCTTGTGGCTCTGCCATCATGGCCTCAGAGGTCACCGTGGTTTCACTCAGCTGGTGGATGAAGTAAAAAGAGAGTTTGAGAAAGCATACTGAATACTTAACCACCCCAGTGCAAAAATGACACTCATCATTTCTGCTCACATTACACCTGTCCAGAATTGGTGATATGGCCTTATCTCAATACAAGAAGGCCGAGAAATGTGGTATTCCTGTACGCTCAAGAAGAAAATGAAAGGGTTTGTGGAACACATAGCATGGATACTGCCACTAAGGATCATACTGGGCCTCCACGATGACCATACACCATTTTGGAGATTCTGTTGGTCTTTTCCTTAATTGACTCCTTATATCCGTTAACTTTTACTGAATAACAAATTACCCAACACTTGGTGACTAAAAGCAACAACAATTTGTTTAGCTCATGATTCTGTGGGTTGACAATTTGTGCTGTGCTCAGATGGAGTGTTCTTCTGATCTCGGCCCACTTGTGCCTCTGTAGCCAGCTGCCAGGACAGCCGGAAACCAATGGATGTAGGTTAGCCTCATAGGATGGCTCGTCTCTAGGTAACGTGATCTCCATTGTCTTGCTTGCTGACCTGGGCTTGTCACGTGGTGGCCGGTTAGTGTTCCAAATGGGTGAAAGCAAGAGCTACAAGGTCTCCTGAGGCCTATGCTCAGAACAGGCACAGTGTCACTCCTGCCACATTCTATCGGTCAGCTTAAGCCAGGGGTCCTCAAACTTTTTAAACAGGGGGCCAGTTCACTGTCCCTCAGACTGTTGGAGGGCCAGACTATAGTTTAAAAAAAAAAGCTATGAACAAATTCCTATGCACACCGCACATATCTTATTTTGAAGTAAAAAAACAAACTGGCAAAAACACCCACATGTGGCCCAAGGGCCGTAGTTTGAGGATGCCTGGCTTAAGCCTACAGAGCCATCCCTGACTCAAAGGGGGAGGAAATAGACTCTGTGCTTTCAGGAGAGGATCTGCAAAGTCATATTGTAAGGGGGTGTGAATACAGGGAAAGAAATAATCATGGCCATGTTTCTCATCTACCATAGTTCTGTTCAAAGGTCTTTGGGGGGGGGATGACTTACATCCATGCCTAGGCCTTCCTGGATATAGTTTCTGGTGAAATTGGTAATCAAAGACATCCTTCTGCTAGAAAAGGACGGATGGGACTACCCTCACTCTTCCTGATATCCAAGTGCAGTATCCACACAGATATCTTATAGATAAGTTTGATAATAATAAGCTAATAATAAAAATCATCGACTCTTAGAATTGTCCTTAGAGATCATTTAACCTACTGGTTTTTATCTTATGCTACAAGGAACAACGTAGATTCCAAGAAGGTGGCTCATGGGTTCCCTGAGGGGGAAAGCAGATAGCAAATAGCAGTGCAGAGGAACCCTGGGGCTCCCCACCCAGATCCTCCTCATGTTTTAATAACAAAGAAGCTATTAGCCACCTTATTGCAAAGATCCTGCTTCTCCTCATACAATTGTTCCCCTAGAACTGCTTGTGGTTATTTGGATTCATTCAACTTTGACCACCCAACATCTCTGGGGAAACCAATATATGTTGAGTGCCTACTAAACACCAAATTCTGCCCTTCAATACAGAGCCCGACTTTCTCTGCCATTAGTTTTAAGGGTCTTTCAAATTTCCTCTCCATATCTACCTTTATCCCGGACACCTACTTGCCAATGCCCAAGTTCCAAGTCTTCATCCCTGCCCCATTCAAGATCCTTTCCTGCTATAGTGAACATCAACCTTCTTTCTAAAGCTAGGTGCCATCCAGTTCTATACTGCCTCAGTCAACTCTCAGTCTGAGTAGTAGACATTCCCCAGTAAGTCCCCAATATTCCCACTGTCCATCTACAATCGTATCTTTTATTTGCTAACACCTACCCCAGGCCAACCTATTTACAACATAAACTCCAGCCAGGATTCAGGGCCATTTCTCTTCAAGCCTGGTCCTCTTTCGCTCACATGATATAATCTCATTTCTGCAAAGTCCACTGCTAGATGAGAAATTATAAAAAGATTAATAGGAAGTGACTGAAATCTTTATTTTGAAACAAAATTCCCACAATGCAACATGAGGTCAGTTGCTATGAGACAAATCTGTACCATCTGATCATCTGAAATTCTATTCTGGGCTCTGCCATCGACCCAGCCAGAAGCATTTATTGAGTCACTTTGTCTCTCTGGGCCTTTTATTCCTTCTCTATTTCCTATGAGAGTGGGCTGCCAGTTGCCCACCACCTCTCTAGACTTCTAACTCCCAGGCAAGCTGATCCGAAATGCTGGAGAACAGAGATGCTAAGGGTCTATATAAATTTCTCCATCCCAAGAGAATGTTGGGACTGCCTGGCTAATTCTAAGGTGACTGACTGATACTTCTTATCCATTGGGGCTCTATAAAGGTCAGATGTTGGTTCCCAGCCCTAATTAGCAGGCAATGGGGCAGACTATCTAGCTGGTCAATCCAATGGGGTTCCTATATACATTAATAATATCTTCCTCCTACCTCCTTATCACTGGGTGTTAAGATATTTAATGTGAAAATGGTTTGGAAATAGTTCAAGTGCTATACAAATGTAAGGAATTATCACTCTGATTATTATGATGCCTCATCTCATTTTTTCTCCTATTTCAGAAGTAATATTATCCACTAATTGAGTCTAAATAGGAAGAAGAGACAATATTTTATACTGGAGACCTTCCAAATAGTCCTCTGGAGGCCAAAGACCAAAGCAGGTATCCGCATAGATGAGCCTAAGCAGGCAGGACTTCTTAACCACAAACAGAGAGGTGCTTATGGTGGGAAGCTAAGAAAGCACTGCCTCATGAAGCTTTTTCCTGACAGTCAATTCTAGTCAAAGCCAGTCAGGACCAGTCAAGACTGGCCAAGACTGGTCAAAGCCAGTCACATCCAGTCATGGCTAGTCAAGACTGGTCAGAGGCAGTCATAGCTGGTCAAAGCCAGTCATAACCAGTCAAGACCAAACAAAACCAGTCACTCTAGTCAAGGCTGGTTAGGGCCAGTCAAGGCAAGTCAAAGCTGGTCAATTCCAGCCAAAGCTCATCATGGCTGGTCACAGGCAGTCAAGACCAGTCAAAGGGAATCTTGGCCAGTTTAGACCAGGTAAAGCTAGCAAAGCTGGTTAGGGCCAGTCAGGCTAGTCAAGGCAGGTCAAAGGTAGTCAATTCTGGTCAAATCTGGTCACAGTAAGCCAAGGCAGTAAAGACCAATCAAAGACAGTCTTGGCCAGTCAAGTCTGGTTAAGGCTGGTCAGGGCCAGTCAAAGATGGTCAAGACTGCTTAGGGTTAGGGTTAGGGTTAAGGTTAGAGTTAGGGCTTAGGGTTAGGGGTTAGAGTTTAGGCTTGGGATTTGGATTGGGGTTGAGGTTAAGAGTTGGGGATTAGGAATTAGAGGTTGGGGTTAGGGTTTAGGGTTAGTGTTAGGTTAGGGTTGGGCCTGAGATTGGGGTTGGGTTTAGGGTTACGGTGGTTAAGTGTTAGGGCTGGGAGTTAGGGTTAAGTTTAGACTTTTCTATTGCCCCTTTCCATTAACACCCCCTCCCATTTCCTGCTCCCTTGCCAGCCACTATTCTGACCTCTGTCACTGTATTTCAGCTTCTTCTGTTCTTTCACTGTGTAACAATGGAATCATACAGTATTTCTTTCTTTTGTGTCTTGCTTCTCTAACTCAACAAAATGTGTTTGAAATTAATCCATGTTATTGTGAGTAGCAGTAGTTCATTTCTTGTGCTGTGGAAGATATCCAAAAGGCCATATAACATATAAAAAGATGATTGAGGTCATCAGTCACCAGGGAAATGCAAATTAAAACCACAATGATATATTCTTGAACACCAACAAGAATAGCTACAGCCAAAGACTGACAATACCATATGAGAATGTGGAGAATCCATTAATAGAACTCTTATATACCATTTGTGGCCCTGTAAACTGGTAAAACCACTATGAAAAACAATTGGACAGTTTCTAATAAACTTAAACATTCACCCATTCTGTGAACCTAGAAATTCCATTCCTAGGCATTTGCTCAAGAGAAATGAAAACACAAATGCACAAAAAGATGTGCACATGAATGTTCTTAGTAACTTTATTTATAAATATCTCAAAGTAGAAACAGCTTAAATGTCCATAAATAAAAGAACAGATAAATAAATTGTATATCTAAACAATGGACAAGTCACTTGATCTCAACTGGGCTTCGCTTTATGTTAAGAATAATATTTATGCCACATAGATGGTTATTAGATGAACAGTATGGATAAAGGCTTACAAATATAGGATTTATATTTTTTGTTGCTGCATAAATAAGAGAAAGACTAAGAAAAGTTAGGTTAAAAAAAGACACAAACTAACATGCCATAGGCTGCCAACTCTTAAACCTGCTCAAATTTCTCATCTCCAGATCCCATTTCTCTGACTTACTGCAAGCAAGAAGCAGCAACAGCAAATAAAACCATTTTCCCCCTTCTAATAAAACATGGTAACCAAGAGGGTTTGCTTTAGAGTCTTAACTTTGAGGAAACAGCCAAATTGCCTGCATATGTTTAATCTGCTTAATGCAGATATCTTAAAGTATCTACTTCTGCATCCTTTGTCTTCTGTTTTATTATGAAATGGCTCATCTTCTGTTTAAATCAGCAATCCACCTCAAAACTCTTTGGAAACAAGCAGGAAAAGAATCGCATGAACCCACACACGCACATACACACATGCACACACACATACTTATGTACATATGTTGCCTTCTCCACCTCTGAATACATGGAAATCTACATATTTTCTATATCTATGTACACTAAGCACCATATTAGGAGATATGTCACTTAATAGCAAGCATCCAAGTGAGGTTCCCCAAAGTGGGGAGCTTCTTTCCTTATTCTGACAATGCTGTTCTTGCTCAAAACATTGTTTGGATCTTTGGAAACCATGTGCTGTGAAGAACTGTAAGAGGAACAGAGTCTGTAGAATCTCGAAGAGAAAAGCCTGCTCTTAAATATTTCTAGAGTCATTATGTGAAAGAAAGAATACATTTACTGTCCCCATTTTACAGATGGGGAAAAGGAGTCACTTGAGCTCAGGCAGTCTGCCCATGACCCGCTTTACCCTTGGCCCTCTGAGAATAGAATGGGACAGACAAATGAGGAAGAATAGTAATGTGCTCCCTCTCCCCCCGATGTTCTGGTGGATAAGTCCTGGCATGCAGTGGATACCCAAGGAAAGAGTGCTCAATCGGGTCCAGGGTGGGGATCAGGGAGTGGTAGGTATCAGAAAGGACATCATGGAAGAGCTGCCTTGCACAAGGAAGGGACTTTAGAAGCACATTCAGCTCTTTGCAGATCATGGGCTCTTATTTTCTTTTTCCAAGGTAGGTTCAGAAAAAACCGGGTAGGATTTGTAACATCCTCTTCCTCAGTCACTATCAGTACCTTTGTCTGGTCCTCAAAGGTCATTTTAATTCTCTTATGGTAGATGGGGGTATTGGGCACAGCCTCGGAAAATGGGACCAATGCAGGGATATAAGTGGGCTACCAATGCCTTCTTCCCTCTGCCTCCCAGACTCCCAAAATCTACCGTCAGATCTTTCTTTCTTTAGCAGTCAGGAGGCCGGCCAAGGGGAGAGAGAGTATGTGTGTGTGTGTGCTAGAAAGAAGACGGGGAGGGAGACCGAGGCCCGGGAGCCCCTCTCTCCCCCAGCCTCGGAGCATCCAGCCCGAGCACACAGGACCAAAGCTGCCTGGCCCCTTTGATCGGGACCCCATGCTGTGCCTTGTTCGGGGAATTTTTAAATTCTCTTTCATATTATTGAGCGGCTCCCCTCCCCACCTCCCATCCCCAAGTCACGTTTTAGGATTATTGGGTCCTTCTCCTCATTGATTTGTTTTTCTGACCTTTGTAGTAGATACAGAAATATATGGATGGAACAAGAAAGGAAGGAAGAAAGGCGAGGAGGGGGCAGCCTGAGCAGCCTCCCTCTGGAAGGGAGGGCGCACGGTGAGGGACTTGGGTCTGGCCACATTTTACAGCAAAAAAGGCAGGTGGATGGCAGGTGCTTGGTACCCAGTAAGGGAAGCCGGGCTGGGAAGGAAAGGCCCCTGGCCACTGGTGGACAGCATAAGGCTATCCCTCACATGCATTCCTCACGAGCACCAGAGGGTGGCGCTATGGACACCTGGGCCTCTATGCATTTGCTTTCCATCAAAAAGACTCCTATATCGGCTTTGTTTTTCATTCTTTCAGGGACTACCTACAGCACCCGCTCCATGCTAGGCTCAGTGCTACAGGCCAGGAGTGCATGAGCTCTTCCCCCTCTCTCCAAGCCTATTGTATTAAACCCCATGTCTTCAAGCCAACCACACCTGTGCATGCTCCACTGTCAACACTGAGAAGTGAGAGGAAATGAACATTTGTGGAGTGCCTACTGCCCAGCACTGGGAAAGGCATTTTATTTGTGTTACAGGATGCTGAGCAAGACTTTTCGTATTGTTCCAAAAACAGAAGGAAGGACCCACAGCTGAATCACCAACTGGAAGGCAGTGCTGTTGTGAGCAGTGATTCCTCCAGAGAGGTGTGAGTCTGTTCCCACCTGGAAGCCAAGTGAGAAAGCTCCAAGATCTGGGATTGCTATAAGACACAGAGTCTGGCCCCTCAACCCCTAGGGATGTCTTGGGTCCACCCTGGCAGGAAATACACCTGGAGAGGAGGCACATGGCAGAGGAGAGTCCAGAAGAGCCTACACCTCATCTGTTTGACAAGGTGGATGATGAGAATCCACCAAAGGTCAAGTAACATCATGGAAGGTGGCTAGACTGGACCTGTCTTTCCTGTGGACCCACCCGGGCAAAGGGAGGCGGTAGTGACAGCAGTGACAACTGAGTGGAGGTGGAAGAGGGGAGTATCCATCAGGGAGTTACCCAAGTCCCCTTGCCTTTACCTTTCAGCACACAATGCCTGACTTCCAACTGCCAGCACCTGTGTCTCTTTGTCCGCAGGCTTCCTCTGGCCACTGAAGCCCACTGTACCCACAAAGAAATGCTGGGAAATGAGCAACCCCAAGAAGCAGCCCCTATTCATTGACAGGTGGGTATTGGCATATAAATACCCCAGCTCCTTCATTTGGATAGAATAACTCCGAGTCTCTTCCTCTACACTGTATTAGTTACCTTTTGCTGCGTAACAGTCTACCTCCCAAACATAGCAACTTAATACAACAATAAATATTTATGTCACAGTTTCTGTGGGTCAGGAATTCAGGAGCAACTTAACTGGGTGGGTCTGGCTCCAGACCACTCATGAGACTGTAGTCAAGACGTCATCTGGGGCCGCAGTCAACCGAGGGCTTGACTGGGGCTGAATGATCCGCTTCCAAGATGTCTCATTCGCCATCTAGCAAGTGCGGCTGTTGGCAGGAGGCCTAGGTCAGTCACCGCATAGACCTCTCCATAGGACTTCTCCAGCCTCCTCAAGCTGTGTGACTGGCTTCCCCCAGGGCTAGTAATCCAAGAGAAAGAGAGATCAAAGGGGGAACAGCAAAGTCTTTTACGGCCTTGGCTCAATAGTCAGATGCTGTGTTAATTATCTCTTGCTACCAAACAAATTACCCCAAGGCTTTGCCATTAACTCACAGTTTCTATGGGTCAGGAATCTGGGCACAGCTTTCCTGGGTGCCTCTGACTCAGGGTCTCTCTCAAGGCGACAGTCAAGGTGTTGGCCCAGCCTGCAGGCATCTCAAAGCTCGACTGGAGGAGCATCCACTGCAGGCTGGCTCACTGGGTGTTGGCACCCTCAGTTCCTCGCCCTGTGGGCCACTCCACAGGGCAGTTCACAACACGTGGTAGCTGGTTTTTCCTCAGAGCCAGTGAGAAAAAGAGCAAGAGATCACAAGCGAGAAGAAAGACAGGGTCTTTCTGTAACCTAATCTCAGAAATGACGTTCATTGCCTTAGACATATTCTACTGGTCAGGAATGAGTCATTTCTATTGCTAACCAGTGGCCCACACTGGAGGAAGGGACTGTCCAGGGGTAGGACCACAGCAGGTAGAGATATCTGGGTCATCTCAGAGGCTGCCTGCCACAGATAGCGCGTTCTATTGGACACACAGGCCACGCACGTTTTTCACTGCTGGGCAGAAAATTACACAAGGGCATGACCACCAGGATTTGAGGAGCGCTGGGGGCCAACTTGAGCACTGGCTCCCACAAAACTGTTCCACACTGTTCCCCAGTGAGATTAAGCAGCTGTTGATAATGCATCCTTGAGTGTCTGCCTTACCTTTCCTGGTTCACCTCCCCACTCGCCTACCGGTCTTTTGTGGAGTCACCTCCCAAATAAACCACTTGCACGTGAATTCTTGTCTCAGAGTCTACTTCTGGAGGAACCCAGACTAAGACAGAGAGTGAGACGTTAAACCAGAACTACATAAAAGTGCTTGTGTATGAATGTGTGTGTATGTGTGTTAGGAACTGATGCACAAAATTCATTTCTTACTCCGGAATGCACCAAAAATGTGAAAGCTATTGTAGTAAGCACTACAGCATTTCACGGCAAGAGTGTTTTCATTTGACCTGATGAAATCTAGAAAGACAAGGCCTTAAAGGAGATTCGGAAATATGAAAAGTTGCAGAGTACGATATACAGCCAAAGCCAACAATGTTCAAAATTGGGGCTATTAGTCCTCCAATGAATTCCCCACTTGTCTTCTGGAACTACAGTTTTATTTCTACCAGCTCGTCGCCTTACTCAAGGCGCCCATATACTGCCTGGGCTCCAGCCAAGCCTCATGCCCAGCAAGCATTTCTTACTTTTGTTGGGGAGAATTGCTCTGTGACCAAATTGTAGAAATGAAATGCAAAAAACTTCATAGCATTGTGGGGGGGGGGGGAGAGGTTGCGCAGAGCAACCCAAGTCAGTTGAAACAATTGTACATTTTCAAAACTTTGCATTTTCCAAAACTCACTTTGAGACTGACTTTAGATAGGCAGTTACCAAATGACTCTTGACCTCTAAGCACCCCCAAAATGCCCAGGAGACATCAAGGCCTTCCAATGCACTCTATCGTGGGTCTGTCAAGGCTGGCTAGGGGAACTTAAATCCAAATTAATTGCTCCGATATCTCTAGCTCAGAAGTTGGGCCACAGACACACTCATCAGCATGCGACAGTAGCACTGTTCCCACAGTGAGAAGAAAAGGAACCGGGATAATGAGGACAGTAGATAAAAGGGACACCATGGAGGAAGATCTTAATTGTATCTTAATTGAGTCACACACTTTCTCCTTTATGCAGATGCCAGCCTTAAAGTCAAAAAGAGAGTGGCCTATCTACTGGGGTGCTTCCTGTGTCCCAGCCATGGCTGGTTTTCGAGGTCAATACACCATGGCAATTGACTGACAAACCAGCGTATCAGTTAACTGTTGCTGCAATAATGCTGTATTACAAACCACCCCAAATCTTAGTACTAATACCTCGTTTGCACTCGTGCATCTGCAGGTCTGTGAGCCTATGGATCTGCAGGTCGGCTGGGGCTTGGCTGACCAGGCTGGGGTTTGGCTGAGTTGCTCTGCCTCGAGCTTACAGATGTAGCTTGCCTTGCCTCTCACTGAAGCTTGGCTTATATCTCCTCCACGTGCATTCCTTCCAGGGACCAAAAGGAGATGTAGCTTCCAAGGGGGGAATGCCTCTCTGAGAAAAAGCAGGAATAGCTGAGGCCTCTGAAGGCCTGGGCTTGGAACTGGCACACCTCACTCTGCCCACGTATCACAGGCCAAGCCCAACGTCGAAGAGTGGGGACCTACATCCTCTCAGTGAGGCCACGGCAAGGGTGAGGGTGTAGGGCAAAGTAAAGGACTCAGGGCCAGTAATCTCATTGACCAAAGCCAGGGTCTTGCCCCAAACTCAAACCAAAGTCATGCTGACAGTCACTACGGAGTTCCCACCTATTTGATGCATTTTTGGTAACTGGGAAGTACGGAGGTGAGAATGATGCGTTCACATGCCTGGCCACCACAGACACAGAGAGACGGCAGTGGCACACGCCACCCACTGCCTGTGCACGGCAGAATCAATCAACATAGAGCATTGCACTCGGGGCCTGTATGATCAAGTCGGTTATTACTGTTGTCTGAAGAGGCGTGGCGTTTCCTCTGACGTTGGAATGCAAGGGCGATTGTGGGTTATGTGGTCATTCCCAGGGAAAGAAGAAAAAGGCCTTTCTTCAAAGACACATGTGCGACTCTACGATCATGAATGTTTCCTAGCCAGCCCATTGCTTTTACTTTGGCTTTGGTCTGTGTGGTTGGCTGGAAAGGCTACTTCTGGAAAGGAAAAAGTCCTCATTTCTTTACTGACAGTGGAGTAAAATATCCCAAAAATAATAATAATAATAATAAAAAAGCCTTTGACTCAGATTGCCAGAAACAGAAAACTATCCCAGACCGCTCCAACCTGCATAACTTGGAGTCCGTCGTTACAAATGTACTTTACCAGGCCCCACGAGCCGCTGGCTGGGTGTGCACAGGGTCACAGCACACAGACTGCAGGTGGTCCCCGGCACTGGGGACCCACCCAAGGAGCAAGTGGGCGCTGAATTCCAGGCTGTCTTCTGCTTTCCAAGCCAAGCACCCAGGCTAGGGGGCTGCGTTATGCCAAAGGAAGGGGTACCTTTGACAATTAATCTGCCCACAAGGGGCACCTTTTGGTAATTCACAGGAAGGTGACTCATGAAAGGGGAGTTTATCGCCTTGAGAGTCAGATGTTTGACACTCCCAGATTTCCCAGAGGGCCTGGCGCGATGTGATACATTGGATTATTCTTCCGACTCTTCACTACCCTACCATAGCGTTATGCATCCATGTCCTTTGCTACGTGACCCCACAGCACCCCCCAATGACGAGGCAGGATGTATACCCATGCCCCACTGACAATGGTTTGGTCATGTGACTTGCTTTGCGTAATGGAACGTAGGTGGATATGAAGTGAGCAGAGGCATTAGATGCACTTGCTTTGTCTGGCTTGGTCTCTCGAGCCTCTGCCGTCTGACGCGAGAAGGGCGAGCTCCCAAGGAGCCTCTGGCGTCAGAAGGCAGAGCCCCACGGCAACCCACACTCGGAAGCAGAGCCACATTCACTGCCCCCCCCCTCCCCAACAAGCGAAAACAATAAATGTGTGCAGTTCGTTATGCTGAATCCTTGCAATAAAAACTGCCTGGTGCACGTGGCCATTCAGGGAGTGGGATAGACTCTTCCCTCAAAGGAACCTGGGTAGTCCAGCTAAGAGAAGGCATCCAGGGCTGAAAACAAAACATAATAGCCAAATAGATATTCTGCCAGAGGACAGATTGAAACTGCAGACATCAGACCAGAGTGAGTGGGCCCAGAAGAGAAGTTGGAAATGATTCCTAGCCAGGTGCTGGAGCTGAGTTTCCAGGGCTTTCCATGCCTGAGGCTGGCTGCGAGTGAGGAGGGCAGTTGAGAGCCCTGAGCGTGCTCAGACTCTGCCATACCAACCTAGGTGGCCCCAAAGTGGGTGCAGCCCACTGGAGCAAAGGCCACCATGCTGGGAACCATGGAGGGACAAAGAAGGTTAGAGCAGGGCTGTTGCTCTACAGCCCTCACCTTGCTTTCAGCACGGAGCACTGCGATGAACTCCAGCACAGTGGGAGTATTTCCACAAAGTCAGCCTGTTTTTAATGACGGCTGCACGCCAGGCAGTGCTGCCACCTCCCTGCCTTGTACGATGTCGATGGCAGCTCTGTCCAGCTGCAGTTGATTTGGCCCTTGCAAATACAAATGCATTTCTCACCACTTGTAGCAATGAGCTGAAAAACATTCAGGCCTCATTGGCATTGGAAATGAGAAAGAAAGGGAATTCCTCTACGATACTGCTTCCAACCCCAGATGAAATGCCAAAGTAAAATGCTTAATTCCCAAAGGTCAGTTGGGAAAATAAGCCCATGTGCAGTCTGTACCACGCTTGGAAAGAAAGAAGTACACGATGGCCAATCTATGAGTGACCTCCTTTGCAGGCACGGCTGTCCCAGACTCCAGGGCCAAGGACAATGACATCCGGGTTCACCCCATCTGAATCTGTTTACCACAGAAGGAATTTCTTTACTAAGAACTTTGTGAATGAAAAGATTCTGTTAACAGGAAGCGGACCAAGCCAGGTGCTGTAGTTTGTGGCTATAATCCCAGCTATTTGGGAAGTTGAGGCAGGAGGATCACTGGAGCCCAGGAGTTTGTGACCTGCCTGGGCAACATAGCAAGATCCCATCTCAACAAGGACAAAAAAAAAAAAAGAGTAAGTGGACCAACACCATGAAAAAGAAACTGACTACGGTCTAGTAAAATGATGCATATGAAGAACCCATCACTGGGGTTTTCACATGAGTCACTGTGAATCCCTAAGCAATGCCTATCCCTTTGAGATAGGTGTCACCATTCCTGGTTTAGCGTGTGCAGGAACAGAAAATCAGAGAGGTGACATGATTAACCCTACAGCTAGTAAGTGAGAGGGTCTGAATTCAAATCTAATGTTAGTCCGACTCCAAAATTTATATTTATCCTGTTATGCCAGACTGACATTAGTCTTAGTATTTTATATAAACACATGTAAAACCTCAGTCTACAAACACAGGTGTGCAACAAATAAAACTTTCTTCAGTTTTCTGTTACTCAGATTGATTTCTCTTGCAAGCTCATTCCACCAGAGTGATGATGACTAAAATTCAGGCGATTGCTCGCCCCAGCCCTTCCTAGGGTCGTAAGAAGGCCATTGGGATGCACCACACCAGGTCCCCGAAAGCACCTGGCTGGTTTCAGCCCAGCTGTGGAGGACATGCATGCTGCCAGCGCCCAAGTCAAGCATGTACTGCCATGTATCTGTTCTCTGCTGCATTGGTGGCAAGGTGCCCCAGCTTCCCAGCCCTCTGGGAAGGCAATTTTGAGGCTCATCCTTCAAGGGGTCCCCAGAGAAACGGAGCTCCAGTTGCTCACAGCGGTAACTCGCTCATTAATGCCTCCTTTACTGGCTTTTCCTCCTTCCCTGACTCACTTGTCTCACTGCTCACTTCTGCTTCCCCGGATTGCTCCCCAAATAAGCTCCTGGCACATGCATCCTTGTCTCGCGCTCTGCCTTCAGGGAAACTCAAACTGAGACAGTTGTCTAAGTTCCTGGGAACATCCCAAGGGCCAAGCCATAGCAAGGTCAGGATGGGATGGAACACCTGATCAGCAAGTCACCTGTCCCCTTCCATATCAGCTAAGAAACCCTCACCCCATCATCTGGGCTGCACAA